AAGTGTATTGTCATAAATACATAGATGTTTCGGCAGTGTAAGCCCACGCTTAAATCATACAAAGTATAATAGCCAAAACTCTGAGGCGCTGACAAATGCGGCTATCAGAGTGATGGAGAGGCGTGCTGTAATCCCAGGTGACGTCACATTCCAATTAGACGTCAGGAATTCGTCTTCTCAGTCTATTGAGGACGCGAGAAATGTTTGTAAGAATTTTTAGCATTTTCACGGATGATATATCCAGGAATATACCTTTTTTACGTCACAAACAAATCAAGTAGGTATATCTCATACCCGTGACGCAATTATACAATCGGTTTTGGCGTAAGTCTTTTTCTATTTCCACATTTTTTATTTAATCACTTAATTTGCTTAAAATTAGTCATATTTTAAATTGGTATAATGGCATAAGACAAATTTCTTCCTTTTCACTTCTAGGATTGTAAGAGAATATGCCTTTTTCTTTTATCTGGAATTATTTTAAAGTTATAGTTTTATTTAAATTCCACGCAAACGGTTTCGCGGGTGACAGCTAGTATAAAAATAAACTCAATATAAAATATGAAATAAACAGGAGTGACGTACATAAAACAGATCCATTTAAAGTTACCAAAACCCGAAGGGGCGCAAGGGTTGCGGGTAATATCATAAAAGGATTACCCTCCCGACAGTCTTAAACCTTTCAATGTTAATTTGCGTTTTAATTTTTCTATCTCATCTTCACAATATTATCATTTTAATTTGATGTCCAAATTATTTCTTTAAACGCTTTACAGACCCCAAAATGTTACTACTTAATAAAATTGTCGTAAAAACCAGTAAAGGATTTTTCGAACATCCTATTGGAATTTTAAATTTTGTAATCATTTTTATGTTAAGATAAAAACCATTTGGATACTAGTGCTTTATATAATTTTATGTTTAATTACAAAAAAAAATTCTGATAACGTTAAAATTTTAAATCTGAACGATAACAAATATTTGATACGTTTCATATAATCATTTAAAAACAATTCCACAGTCGTAAAATTTTATTACTTAGTTCTTTTAGATAATTTTTAGTTTGATATGTGGATACTGTCTTTAGAAGGTAGGATTTATTCGATTCAGTAGCAACTAGAAGACGTTAACCGTACTAGCAGAGATGCTCTTAATATCTAAATGTTAATTTAATAATTGAATTAAATAAATTAAGTTTAACAGTAGTAGAGCCCGCTTTAACATCTTCGCACGAATTGGCGCGGCTCGCCCGGTGAAATACCACGACCACACAGAAGACAGGCGTCAAGTGTGCGTCCCGGAGGCCTAATTTAGTCCTCTTTACCTCCCCCTCCCTTTTCTTATAAGGAAAGGAAGGGAAGTGGAAGTGGACTTTACGGATGAGAGGATGCATGGAAAGGGAAAATATTTTCTTTCTGTGCATCCTCTCCTCCGTCAATTAAAGGTAGGCAACGCATATGTAATTGCGTATGTCTATGGGCAACGGTCACTTCGCTATTTCAGCGATTTCAGGTGGCCGCTCGCTCGTTTGCCACCTTATGATATAAAAAAAATTAAAACATAATACAACTGAAACGATTACTCAAAAGGTAACAATAACCATATCTCGAGTTACAACAGGGTTGGAGCCGCACGCATGAATCATACGCCCTCTAAACGGATTACGACCCTCAGAATCGTATTATACCACCCTTTTCCACCCTGACGACCAGTGACGTAAGTGGAATATTTGGGCACTGTTAATCTGTATTGTGGATACAATTTCAAACCTTATATTACTATGTTTTTCATAGATGAAGAAGTTTTTTGTAGAAATAGGCATGTTTTTTACCTTAAAAATGTATTTGACTTGAATTTTTTCTTTTATTTTATAAATTGTAAAAATTATGTTCTATACTTTTATATAGTTGTTTTATAACTAGCTGTCGCCCGCGACTCCGTCAGTGCGGTATTAAAAAACTTAGTAGCCTATCTGTTTTTCCAGACTATGTTCTACATCTATGCCAAATATCAGCGAGATACATCCAGCCGTTCTGGAGATACCTTCTAACAAACATCCATCCAATGTAAACTTTCGCATTTATAATATTAGTACGAAGTACGTTTGTAATATGACGATCAACTAACATTTGAGCTTCTTATTTAAATGATTTGCAAATAGTGGAATTAAAATATCTAACCCATTCGCGTTTTATATCCATAATTCCATAATGGATTAAGTAATAAACACTAACTCAAAAAAAATACAAAAGCCGTAAAATATATTTTTTTCTCGGATATAGCAATCCGGCTCTAATATGGCTGTATTAATTTAAATATTCACGATATCTAAAACAATTATCACGAAATTAATTATACAATTTTCATGCATTATTAATCAATGGCAATTATGCAAGATACAATTTTATTTGGCACTGAATAATAATTAATATAATATAATAATGAATAATCGATCGAGATCGATCGCTTGTCTATTATTTTTTGTACAGAATTTAATGCGCTTGCTTGCTTCTGATTTTAACAGTAAACAAAAAAAAGTAAGAAATAAATAACGTTTGTCTAATAATTAAACTCTTAATACTATAAATGCGTATGTTAAGAGATATTTGATGTTTGTTAAAAGGTATCTCCAGAACGGCTGAACAGATCTCTAAAATATGCCATAGATGTAGAACATAGTCTGGAAAAGCACGTGGTTCACTATTTTTTTAAATCCTCGCAGAAGAAGCCGCTTGCAGGCAGATAGACAGCTAGCCTAACATAAATTACTAGAATGTAGAATGTTTTGTAAGTGTCAACTAGACTAATCTTACAAACAATACAATAATAAATAAAAAGAAGGTTTGGCTCTCTAATAAAATAACAAATGGCAACACTTACTAAACGGTGGGGAGCAAAGGTCACAGGCTTTCTTTGGCTACAGCCAAATTACGTAGATGGCCGCAATTCCCGCGCAATTTGCGGTCACGTGAAGCGGCCATTACTGCTTGCAAGAGCCAATCGGAGGGCGCCCTTTAATACGATTCCATTTTCGAAAAAAAAAATTCAAACTGTCACGGAATTCATGTATGCAATTGCATTATGGCATGGATTAAACGAGAAAAGATGAAGAGCATTTTGTGTTTAAAAAATTATTTAGTTTGTAAATTGATTTAATATAAAATCAGTCGTATTTATGATCAAATCAACTTCCAATATTTCGGATTCTCACCTCTCTTAATTTCTCACACCATTTAAAAACTAAAAATTATAAAAAATGTTTATATGTTTATATGCTTTGAGATAAATAAGCTCAGATAAGCCTTTATCGTGGGAACTGATGTTATTTTATGATGGAGTTGCAGTGACCTATACTCTATTTGCAATGAATATTCAAGAAGTAGATGCAAAAAAATACAAAAATATTTATAAAAACTAATTTATATTACATACATTCACTATATTTGACTATAATAACCTTGGTGTCAACATTGGATTAACTTTATGTGCCTATATATTATATTGGATTAACTAAGTAGCTCTTGCCAATGACTCCGTCCGCGCAGACTGAGTTCACCGTCTAAACGAAATTTTGTCGAGGTTCATGCGACCGTTCTGGTGATACCTTCTGACAAACATCCAAACATTCGTATTTATGATATAATTAAGATTAGTAAGACGTCATACGACTATAACTTGTTTTGACCACAGTATACGGCTTTAAAGTTACATGCAGAAATTACAACATGTTTTATTTAGTATATAGCTAGACTAACTGTCGGCCGCGACTCAGTCCGCACGGAATTAAAAAAGCTATTAAATAGCCTATGTGTTCTTACAGCTTATGTTCTACATCTGTGCCAAATTTCATCAAGATCCGTTGCCCTTTTTGAGATATCTTCCGACAAACAACAAACATTCGCATTTATAATATTAGTAAGATAAGATTAACAAGCCGTCATACAACTTCACCTTGTTGTTACCACAGTATACGACTTTCAAGTTACACGCACAAATGTTTCAGTATATAGATAAATATAGATATAAAATAAACGTATAATAACCGTCCAATCGACATTGAAGGCATCCCAGTTACCAGCATGATCTCATCTCATGGATCATTAAACGCAAATCGATCTATTACGCAGACCCATTGACGACGTGGGCCAATCCCGACCCGTCATTAAATACCATTTTATCGAACTATATTGTACGTACACGGCCGCCATTTGCAACGATTTATAAACGTAATTGCTTACATCATTTTATTATAATTTAAAAATTATCTATTGAAAAGGTTTGATATTTCCGATTAAAACTATCACTACAGTATAAATTCAGTTGTAAGAAACCTTTTTGCAAATACGTAATCTGTACGTAATAACAAAGGGTAAATAGACGATGTTACCTTGAGTTTTACTACAACTTTAGCCACAAATGAATTATAAAACAACACTAAAACGTATGAATAATAATGTAACCCATTGTTTTCAGTATATTATTTCAAACTTAATAAATGGAAAAAAACGTTCGATTACATCGCTACGCAGATAATCTTTGTTAGTTTAGCGTTATACTGTAGTAAGAACATAAGAATTAATGAGATATTTATTTATTCAAAGTTGTATTATGTTATGTTATTTAAGATGATTACATTAGTGATTTCAATTACAAAGATAAGACGTTAATATACGTCTAGAATTCAACCATTTACGTAATTGTTTTCGATGTTATTATTTGATAACACCACGCTTTTGAGTGGTTTAATGACTGTTCTTTGGAATTTTTTCATCGAATCAAACGCATTTAAATTGTTATGAAGCTAGTGTATATCCACTGAATAAAAGTATAGACATATGTTTCAAGGATTACGGCCGAAAATTGTCGCAGGCACCCTACCACGTTTCAATGGAAGGCGTGCAAAAGATAATAAATAGTGGCGTGTTATATTTATAAAGCTTTTCTTTTATAACAAACGACTGTCTATATTACAATTATATAAAGTATGTTATTTTTTCCAGCATCGTTTCCCATCACGAGGCGGATTGGTCATCCATACCAGAACAGAACACCCCCTAAGCGAAAGAAACCGAGAACGTCCTTCACGCGGCTACAGATTGCTGAATTGGAGAAAAGGTTCCACAAACAGAAGTATCTTGCGTCAGCTGAACGTGCATCTTTAGCGAAGACATTGAAGATGACAGACGCACAGGTTAAGACCTGGTTCCAGAACAGAAGGACGAAATGGAGGTTAGTCTAATTTTATAACAATATATTTAAGAAATTTTAAGATTTATATTTTTAAATACGAATAACACCAAAGTAAATATAAAATTTTACTAACTTAACTTAGTTATTAGAAATTATGAATAATATAAAAGATTTAGAGAGCTTTTCTTTTAATATTCGTATAGCTAAATAAAAATATAATTATCTAAAACACTTTTTTATGCTTCTGGTGTTATCCGTGTCAATTATAAAAAGAACATTTATCAATGTCTGTTTTAAATTCATAAGAAGTAATATGTCTTGTATTTTTAATCTATGTGTTTGGAGACATAACAAATTTACGTCTTGATTTATTTTTCTCTTCGTGGAAAAAATGTGAAATTGAAAGTGTACAAAGTTCAAACTATATTGCATTATCTGAGATACATTCAACGTCAAAATACAACACTTTTAAGTTAAATGTTAGTTTTTAATAAAAATTAATAGTTTTAGACCTTACTAGCTAGAGTTGGTTACACATTAGTATTTTACGTTAGTTGTATAACGTACAGACAGCAAAAACAAGTGACTGCATTCGCCATTACGTTACATAAAACAAATACTGATCTCGATAAATCTTATATATAAAATTCTCGTGTGACAATTTTCGTTCCCATACTCCTCCGAAACGGCTTGACCGATTCTCATGAAATTTTGTGAGCATTTGGAGTAGGTCTGATAATCGGCCAACATCTATTTTTCATCCCCCTAAATGTTAAGGGTAGTCCGCCCCAAAATTTTATTTTTAATTTTTTAGACAAACACGCGGACGGAGTCGCGGGCGACAGCTAGTATAACTATATTATTTAAATACGCGACTTCGCGTAGATTTACGATAGGAAAAATTTCTTAAGTGCCAAGCTCATATAGTGCTACAAACTTATTGGCCAGAGTGTGGCTGTTGTGTTAACAATGATATTTATGAAAATAACAATGATTTTGTAGCACTTTTTTTGTTGACAGAGTCGTATCAGCGAATTACATATATTCACCGGGTCATATAAGTTAGTCGGTTTATACAAATGTCTTATTCCTCAAAACATTACGTCAAATGTGTTCAAAGGTGAACCACTTGGTCCGTTAAACGAGAACTTTTATTGACGATTATGTTTTACAATTTACAATTTATGTTATATTTATTAATTCTGTATCACTTTAAATAGGAATTTTAAACAAAAGAGTCTATAAATTTAAAGACAATAAATATTTATTACTTCTTAATGTGACTAATCTATAAAATGTATTCTATTAATTTTTTTGCGAGTCTTCAATAAAATTGGCTCCTCTTCTCTAGGCCTTATCATAGTTAAAATAACGAAAGAAGCCAATAAAGTGGCCTCAGATTATAAAATACTTAACGTGGGTTTCTAAGACAAAAATCTCCGTATAAAACATATCGTCGTCCCTGACATTATCTTTGACAAAACAGAGATAACAATATGTTTTAAACGGAAAATTTGGACTCGGAAACTCACTTTTGTTCGTGTAGTCTGATCAATATAAAATGGCTTTTCAATCGTCAACTTAAAAGTATGTAATAGTGAAATTATCAGTGGTAGAGCCCGCTTTAACACCTTCGCACGAATTGGCCCGGCTCGCCCGGTGAAATACCACGACCACACAGAATACAGGCGTGAAGTGGAAGCAATTCCGCGTTTCGTCTGATGAGTGTGCTTCCCAGAGGCCTAATCTAGTCCTTCTTCCCTTCCCACCCTTTTTCTAAAAAGGAATGTAAGGGAAGTGGACTTTCCGGATGAGAGGATGCATGCAAAATATTTTCTTTCCGTGCATCCTCTCCTCCCTCGATTAAAGTATTGCGTATGTCTATGGGCAACGGTCACTTCGCTAATTCAGCGATTTCAGGTGGCCGCTCGCTCGTTTGCCACCTTATGATATGAAACAAAAACAAATTCGTAGTATGCTTTATTTAAAAAAAAACAGTCATTTAATTAAAATTTTTAACCTACCTACAAAAAAAATTAAAAAGATCGTTGACATTGCTTCAACTGTTTTTTTTTATCCAAATCGAACTTTACGGAACTATTTGATAGAACTTTAAATTGACCTCCGTATTTAATTTTATAGTTCTAACACTTTTTTTTCATTAATATACGCATAATTATGTTAATTAGACAGTTACATATACCCTATTGATAATGTTATATTAATCTTTTTAACGCATAATATGTCATGTTTCAATTCCGGAACAAACTACCGTTCGCTAATAAATCATTATGAGTGTACTATAATTATACACGAGTTTGTTTTTATTGATAGCTAATATCATTAATATTAATTTATATAATTAAGCTATCGAACTGTTTTTAAATAGGGCCTATTTTAGAAAAAAGTCTTTTACGTTCAATCGATTAAAATATAATCGACTCAAAATCGATTTTATTTGTTTTACGATAATGCTAGGATTTTATACCAACACCCGCTGTCGCCCGAGACTCCGTCGCGTGGGTATATAAAAAAATTTAATTAGTGTAGCCCACCCATCCATCCATCCATATCACATCTATCTAAACATTCGTTTTTATAATATTAGTAAGTTAAATAAAAAGCAGCTCTTCAAGGCATAAATTCGAAAAAAATAATAATAAGTAGTATCCTATGTCCGTCTCCTGGCTCTAAACTACCTCCTCATCAATTTTCAGCCATATCAGTAAAGTAGTTCTTGAGTTATAAATAGTGTAACTAACACGACTTTCTTATATATCTTATATATATATGATACACTATTTCTTCGACTGTTTTCAGCGCTGTATAAAAAAAATAAAGAATAAATACATTCTATGTCTCTCGGGGATAGTGTAGCTTCCCAACAGTCAAAGAAATTTTCAATTCGCTTCAGTAGTTTCGGAACATATTTATTGCAAGCAACCAAATCATTCCTCTTCATGGAATAATATTACTAAATAGATTGTCTTTTGGTTGCTTATTTTTTTATATTATAAGGTGACAAACAAGCAAGCGACTGCTTGAAGCGAAGTGAACGCCCATACATTCGCAATTACAGATGCGTTGCGTAACCTTTAATGGACGGAGAAGACGCTCAGAAATTTAATACCAATTAATATCATCAATTAATAATCCTTTTTTAATTTAGCATTTTAAAATCTTTATAATCAAAACAATAGATTAACAAATGAAAATAAAACAAAAGTCGTGAGCACAGACTAAAAAGGGTAGTAGTAGAGATCCAGTTTGGGTGTTGCGAGACAATAAGGCTATGCCGGTGGGATAGCGATTACTTCTAATGGACAAGTGGTGTTTGTGTTCGGAACAGATAAAGAGAGACTCGATACGCGGCGCCACCGGCTTTTTATTATAACAAAAGACAACGAAAAAATACAGACTGCCGGTAAAATGGCGCAGCATCGACGATTACAATGTTTTAAAACTAGCTTTTGCTCTTGACATTCACATGAAATTAAAAAAAAACTATTTTTTTTTATAACGGACAGAATTTTCAATTGTCTGTGGTAACATTTACCTTATGCATTCTGCAGACTATGATCTATATCTGTGCCAAATTTCATTCAATTTGGTCGGTCCGTTTCCGAGTTTATTGGTAGCAATCATACATCTAAACATTCGCATTTATAAGCTTGATTTTATAGTCATGAAAGAATCAATTAACGCCTTATAACATTGTTTATTTAAGAAATAAAATCTTATTAAAAGACGACAAAGAAGAGGTCTTCAATATTAGTTCCAGTCAATTTATCAGGCGTTTGTTTGTATTAAACAGCTTGTGTTAATGGATGCTTATCTTGGGCTTTGGCTTGTTTGGTTGTATTAAAAGTAAAGCCCTAACGAGGCCCGACTGTCCGATAGGGTTTCTGTTTGATTAATTTACCAGTTAATGTTACTGACGGCAGTAACCGACGAACAGTTACCTTTTTACACTTTCACTCACTTTAAAGAGTTTTTCTTTTTAATTTACTTTTTTAAAGGCACAAACTGTTTACTAATTAGTTTTTTATGGCATAAATTGTCGTTTTCTTAAATGTTAACTTTATAAAAGACCTTTATCTATGAGCAAATTGATTCTTCGTGTTGCTATCTGTAACACCGACTTTTGATATGTTGACTATCAAATCCGTGTACCTTAGAGAAATTGTGAGCATTTCTTTGTTCAACACTAGTAGTTGTCCGCGGCTTCGTGTGTGCGGAATTTAAAAAATATCTAGTAATAAATATACAGTCTTTGTCAGTTGGTAATGTAGCTAACCAATAGTGATAGGCGTGAAGTGGAAGCAATTTCACGTTTCGTCTGATGAGTGTGCTTCCCGGAGGCCTAATTTAGTCCTCTTTCCTTTCCCACCTTTTTTCTTATAAGGATAGGATGGGAAGTGGAAGTGGACTTTCCGGATGAGAGGATGCATGGGAAGGGAAAATATTTGTTTTCTGTATCTTCTCTTTCGTCGATTAAAGGTAGCCATATGCGGTGGCGTGTGTCTATGGGTAACGGTCACTTCGCTATTTCAGCGATTTCAGGTGGCCGCTCGCTCGTTTGCCACTTTATGATATAAAAAAAGTGAAAGAATTTTTTAAATCGGTTTAATAGTTTCGGAGCATATTTAATGCAAACAAACATACAAATGTTTGCTCTTTATATTAGTATAGATATGTTTTTTATGTCTCTTCTTTCCTTTCCCATAAGTTCAATAATTCTAAAATGTAATTTATGAGATATTGTTACGGTATATGTTTTACTTTGGAAACATCTTAATGAACATAATTTGATCTTTATCTTATCCTGAGTGCTGTTATCCGAAATTTACATTGTCAATTAATAATACATGCGTTTGATTTTTAAATTGCTGTTCACTTTAGAATAACTATTTTGCATATCTTGTCTCATGATTTATTTTAAAGATAAAAATCTGCCAATTATCCTTTTTAATCTTTATTTAAATAAATGTGATGGAAAATAAAATATCTACCACTTATTAGATACAAGCTATTACCTC